TCGAAAAAGACATTTCTAGAGGTATTTGGATGCGCAGACTTCGAATCCGAGGACGATTGGGTCACTATCTGGGGTTGAGTGAATGAAGAGAGGTCGTAGGTGAAAAAGAACAACGCAAATCAATTTTTTACGATTTTCGTTTGTTTTTCTAGTAAATGTGAAGAAAAGGCGTTTCAACAAAAAAGGGCTAAGGAAATTTTCGGACGAACGTTACTTGTTGACCAATCAGAAACGGAGGATGATAGAGTTGGTCAATCAGAAATTGCGAGTAAAGAAACTGTAGAATTGAGGTTTGAGAGTGCTGTTATAGATGTGCGTGTTAGGGTGAGTTGGTTCCGAGTTTGGTTAATGGTGTGGAAAGGTGGATGAGGATGTGGAATAGCAAAATAATCACACCGACACCTACACCGTCACCCACACCCACCAGCATCACACACCCCTGCATTGCATTGTATGAAGTAGTGAGATTGTTTCCTTTCCTCGACTGTAAGGAGGATCTAGGAGAAAAACGTTTGTCTGTCTCTCTAGAGAGTTCAAAGGAAGGTTGGTGTCAACAAAACACATTCAGTCGGAAAACCTTTCAAAACCATAATCGTAAGTGCTCGGGAGCGGGGGATCCGATGACACCATCGGTTTCTCGATATGCCTCCCTCGACCATTATATGGGAAAGTATACATAGAGAGTGCCTACTCTTAAATAATCGTGTAACAACAATAAATGAGTGACGCAAAGAGTGAAAAGCAGTTAGTATCATCGATTAGCAGCGGTGAGTCGGGAGTGGCGGACCGAAGGGACGCCGACGACCGACGAGCCGCTGCGGATATAACACTGTTCATGGAGGTGCTCGGCTATTATTTAGAAAAAGTTTTTGTTGGATTCATCGAGTCACTCGAGATAATGCTGAAAATTGAGAAACATTTTACCAAACTATGGTACAAGTAGTAAAAGAGTGCATCTCCATGATTTATTTTTGGAAGTATACTAGTCGCTATCAGTCGAGGGTCCAGCGAGTCGCTCCGACGCGCGTTACTTGTAAATATGAATCTACTATTATTATGGTAATTTTAAATGATATGAGTGTCTGATGTCGGTCTTTGTATCTTGATTTCTTGGATAATAGACTCCAGACAATTTTCAATATAATAAATAAAGCAGCACTCATCGATTTTTTTTAAACTGCAAATGATTCGGGATTATTCTCTGGATGATGACATAACTTCAAATGTTTTATTCTTGCAGTTCTTCGCCTGTCACATAAGTACCATCATTAAAAATGCAATAAGTTTATTCAATATTTACAAGAGTATTCTTAATTATAAGTCTATCAGATCATTTTTCATCATTCACTTTTTCTCCGCCCTCACGATATCATATAGAACATTGCATATATTGATTTACAAATCAGAAGTTTCTTGAAGGTGTGGGTGTGGTTTGATTGAGGGATAGTAAAAAGACACCCACACCCACCCTTGTTTCTGGAACTAAGAAAAAACATTAACATTTGTTATTTTATTAAAGAGAAATTTAAACTAAAGAAAAAAAATAATAAAAGTTAAATATCTACAATTTTTTTTAGGTATTCATCATTAAATGTCTTGAGATTTGTTAAAAGTTGATTATGTGTGATGTTTCCTATGCCGTATGTATTAATAGCATCATTTGTTTTAATAATCAACTCATTAAAAATTTGAAGATGCTTAATTGATTTCTTCGGTCGATCATCCTAAATAAATATTTATATTTTATTTTTAGTTTACTTATTATTCGGACAAAGCTTGATTCTAATATTTTATTACAAAAACTAGTATTTCAACTGATATTTTTTAACGTATAAATAATTAGTTTAGTTTTGACGAAATTAATAGATAATCTGTTTTCGTCAATAATAAATTATGTAATAAAAAAATGCTTACATCAGACTGTGATTCAGGAGTTTCTATAGCCATTTTTTTTCTTTAATACTAACAATTTATTAAAGAAAATAGATAGAAAAAGAAATTTTAATTTCAGCAACAACTTGCAAATAAAAGATATATATTTATGTATGTTAACAAAACGTTGATTTATTGTTCATACAATAACCAATCAGTTTTTATTTTTTCATTTCCGTGACATTCTCATACTAACCCTTACCCCATCTTTCTCTTCACTGCAATTTACTCAAGTAGATACTTATTTTTTTCGTACTGAAATAATCTAAAATTCATTAAGTATAAATTAATTATACTTACTGTTCCGTTCGATGTTGTGAGTTAATCTAAATTTGGTCGATTACAAAAAGAAGCGATAATAAGATACTCGAATCTATTTTATATCACGCAAACAACGATTTTGCTTAATAACGGCGAACACCGATGGTCTTATTGATCATCGTTTCCAGTGATACGTGAGCGGTCGTTATACACCGTTTTCGCACCGCTTACGGGCCGTTATATTTGACCTGGGTGATGTCTATAATATCTCTCTTATCACATATTACATCAAAAGACGTGATCTAAACGAAAAAACATTAGCGAGATAAATTCAAATTGATAAATATTAAAAATCGTTAACTTCGTAGAAGTGATCATGAATGAATAAATCAATATTAATGGCATTGTTCAGTTGATTTCTTTTAATAAATCATATCAGTATTGATGTAAATGATTGATTACAGGAATAGATTGTATGGAAGAATATAAAATAAAAAAAATCTATATGATATATAAAAATGACCATTTTTATGGATTTCCATCTTTGATGCTGTTACCGTAAAGTAAAAACTAGATACTAAGTGTGCTTCGATTAAGTGCGTTTGATATACATTATTTTAAATATTTGTTCAATCATATTTTTTTTTTAAATATGAGGAAATAAATGTTGAAAAATGAATAAGATACAACTAAAAATACTGACAATGATTTAATATCGCTTGCATGACTCTCTAGTTGTTTTTGATAAGAACAAGAAACAATACAAAGATGAGGAAACGTAATTCTCTGAACACGAAAGAACATAACATATTGGCCCAATCAATTTGTGTTGTTACGATTTCTTGATGTGATGCTATTATTTCCTAAGACGAAACAAGAATAACATTTTATTGAAGTAAAATTAATATTGCCAATTTAGTTATCAAAAAGTCTCTTACTTGTTTTTCATGATACCAAGTATCGTAGTCTTGTGTAATACTTGTATATATTGCACGATGAAATATATACAAATGTACAAATATTTCAATGATGTTTATTTTATTAAACGAGTCAGAAAATGTTGCACTGCAGTCTAATTGGTCAGTTGCAAGATAATGAATTTCTTATTTTCGATCAAATTTCAACGCAATCCATTTCTGAACAATTTGTGCGGGTTTATGATCAGCACCGCTATCTGATCTATGATCAGTTACATCGGATTTATAGGAAGATTTAGATGGTGTTGTGCTGCTGTAGATTTAAACAGAATTTTTTATTAAATATTTTACTCTTGTATATATTTAAAGAGTCGAATACATACCTATGCATCTTGATAAACAAACACCAGAAGAAGAAGAGGATGTAAGAAATTCACAATATTGTTATAGAGATGCAGAAATGAAATTTGGCTTTATTTAAATTTATATTGTGCTAATTCACGATAGCTGACGAACAGAACGCTAAAAAGAAATTTCTGTGTTCTTTCATTCTGTTCATCGCTGTCGAAAATTGACTGAAAATTCAATTAAATCGAACTTTCCTATCTTATCTCTTTTATCTTAGTCTTTTTCTCCTTAAATAAGCCATTCTATATCTATAGAAAAAGTAACGAATTTATTAGATTCTATTTGCGTCTAAGTTTTATCAGTTCTGACTCTGTCATACAATCTTCAGGGTGTGGGTATGGAGTAAATAAAAGTCAGACTAACACCAGAACTCACATCTTGAAGTATGGAGATAAACAATCATTTGTAAATGTCAAATGATATAAAATTTATGGATGACTATCGTATGTTAATATATTTGTCTGTAAAATATTGCTTAGTAGATAATTCCATGCCATTAGAATCTAGAAGAGAAAAAAAGAAATGCTTTTTTGTTTTCTCCAATAAAATATTAGAAGAAGAAAAAGAGGTTATCAATTTAGCTGAGTAGTTTTCTATTCTCTGAACGTTTGCATCGGTTTTCATCATTCTTTTATTCAGATGCAGTTCTCTTTTTGTAAAGTAATGTAGTTTGATTATAACAGATCTAAATGTTTCGAGAAGTTCTGTTCCTATCACTTCTTATTCTGCATACATCGTAGCAACATGTAAATGAAAGAAAAACGAGGCAAATCTTTACTGGATAAATATTTTCCATTGAGAAAAAAAGGTTTTTTGAATATGTTGTTGTAACATACAACCTATGTAGCACTTTTTTGATTATAGATATCGCTGGTTTACCGACGGTTATTCAAATTTATTTTGTTTTACAGAAAACGAGTTGATACAAACTTATTCTGCAAGAAAATTAATTCTTTCTGTTATAGACATTGTTAGTATTTAAAATATATGTATGAACCAACATCAGAAACATTCTCGATCGGTGGTACATTCAAGATTTTTTGATTGGGTACCCGCGTTATATATGTTGTTCAGTCAAGCGTTAAGACTTTTTTTTCTATCATAATATAACTATAGAATAAGATGAGTCAAAGATATATTGAGCGATTTTGTCTAACGTATTGACTGTAAGACGCTTGTTTTATGGAATGATAGTTTTGAATTATACAATATTTTGAATTCTGTGTGTAATTTTCTGATCGATTTATTTTTGTTATAGATTTTTTATTTTTACTTTTCATTGTCTTTCTCACTAGTAATGAGCCGTTTAGTTTAAAATATTAAATTAAGGTAAAAGATTCAGCTCTATTTGTAACTGTTAAGGAATCGTTAATAACGCTCGCCAATATATTTTTTTCTGAGGCTAAAAATGAAACAATTTGTTTTATTTCCTTTTTTTATTGTCAAAAGTTAGATATTTAACAAAGGTTTTTTTGTGAAGACAAAAATGAAACAATTTATTTATTTTTTATTTGTAGCTTTCTGTGTGAAAAGACGTTATATTGTATTGAAATGTGATACTCATATTTGGCCATTTTCTTTATTTTCTCTGCAATTTGTTTAACACTGAAGGTCTAGATGTTATTTTATAAATCTATTTGACTATTGTTTTTTTGTGTATCTTTGTAAGGCAATGATGTTCCAGTGTTTTTGTAAAACGTTCTTGTAAAAAATCACCTGTTTAGCATATTTTATGTGAAATTAATAAATAAATGATTATTAAGATCATGATTTTCGTTTGGTATTATAATCAAGAGCTATTTATACTACGAAAATGTTGATGAATGTATTTATCAATAAGATTAAAAATAAATTTTTTTAACATAACTAACATTCTTTATCTTATCTTGAAATTGATATTTAAAGACAGAAAAGTCGTTTTTTGCGAAAACCAAAAACACTTTCATTAATACGATCAGTTGTGGTGATTGAAAACAAAAAGTCTCCATTGATTGTACAAATAGTTATATTAAGTTATCGATTCAAACTAATCTTATACAGGTCTTGTATATATTCAAGGAAGTATTCAGACTATACGTTAATTTAAAAGGTGCAAATGACAAAATGTTTGTTAAATATTAAAAAATAAAACTAGATATTTTTCTTTGTTTAATTTGATCAATTATTAACGTTTTAAATTAAATTAATGCCAAAAACCTTTTTTTCATTTATTTAGAATAGATGGAAGGCTAGAAATAATTTTATTTTCTTTTATTAATCTGTATATAATTTAACTATAATATTCGATTTTATTCAATAAAATAGAGATTAAAAAATGGCAAACAATTTGTTTTTTTTCTTACAAAATTACCTTTTTTTTAAGGTATAACTCATAATAATAAACGGTGAAAAAAGAAAAGACGCCACGTTGATACTGTAAAACGACTTTTTTTCGTTCTGTTTTATTTTTCTTCGCAATAAGCTACCAAGTTATGTTTATACATGCATAGATTCTGTCATTACTAAATCAACGTAATATTGTTGTTTTCACATCACTGCACTCATTAATAATATGTATCTTAAATAATGTGCGTAATATTCAAATAAAAAAAAGATTTGTCAGTTAAATCATGTTTTCGTTACTCAGTGAAAAGAAATCTTCAGATTAAATAAATTAAATATTTTGGTATGAATAGTTGAATTTGTAATAAAGATATATTTTCTTTTTTTTCTTCTTATTTTTAGTGTTGATTCAATCAAATTTCTTTACATATCATCCAAATGTCTTATCCTATCTTTCATATGATATATATATCCAAAAAAAAATTACAGATAACATTGTTAACTTGTCGATCAATAAAAATATATACTCAAACGAAAAAAATGAACGATAATCTCTATCGGAAGAACGAAAAAAAAGTTGAAATCATTTAAAGGAAATACATAACATTGGTAGAAACATTTAACAACTATTAAATATTGTTATAAAAAGATAAATGGTTATTGAATTGTTAATAAACTTAAATTTATAATTTTCTTCAGTTGTTCATTTCTCTTATTATCTGCTATATTCGTTTTTTTTTAAAGAAGCAGTGAATTAAATTCTTATATACATATTTTATTACATAGAGATAATTGCTGCTGATGGAAAACATTTCGATGATCGTTGAAAACCTAATCAAATCATCTTAGAAGTGTCTCAGAGTATTTACAAATAGATATAATCGAATGATTTGACAATTTATAATAGTATTTGAAATGCAGTTGTTTTTGTATCTCTCTGATTATAAAAACGATCGTCAATAAAATTATATCTATCTCTTTTCAAATTACCTTATATGGAGTTGTTTTTCATGTTTGTATCTTATCACAAATGTGATTGATGGGGAAACGCCTATACATAAGACAAAACAATGAAAAATCAAATTCCTTTCATTAGAATGTATGTATTTTTTTTATTTCGAAGCAATTAATCTTGTCATTTTATTCTTTGTTGATATTATAAAGATAATCGTATGCATTATATATGTGCATCAAATTATCACATGATTTTAAATCTTATTCGTAGGATTTATATGACTATAATGTTGTTTTGACGTTATTTATTTCGTCGATAAAATATTTTATATATATATTTCGATCGCACAATGACTCAACATATATAAAAAAAAGGTATCCATTAGATAATAATCTTATTGATCAGTGAGAATAAATACTCAGACGAAAAAGTAAACGATACGCATACTATAAATTCAAATAGGGGTAAGTATCATCTATTTTTTATACTTTTATTCATGTTTAAAACTGAAATAATATTGAAGAAACTAAATATAATTCCTCAAACCATTTGAAAATAATTAACGAATACTATTTGTAAAGTACTAGCTCTTATTTTTATAGGAAAATAGATTTTTATCTATGACTTTTTTTCGATTTTCATTTCCTTTTGGTTTCATATACTATTTTTTCTGTTGTTTTTGTTGAACTGAAGCTACCGTTAATCGTCATCTCTAGTGATTATTAATTTTATTGGTTACATACAAAACCATTGAAACTGAAACTGATAAGGTCAAAATGATCTATCGAGTGTATTTGTAGGATAGTCGCTGTTTGAAATAAAATTATTTCTTATTACCATTTAATGAACAAATAAATTAACAAGACAACGACATCAATTAAAAGGGTGTTATCATAGGTTTCTAGTTTCACGAATTACTTAAGGGTACCCAGAAATACTTAAGCCAATCAATTCAGTTCGAGAAAAAAGAAGTTATATACCGACTCAAACTATTTTTTTACTTAGATATTTTTAATATTTATCTATGTTTTATGTTTTGATTTTCGATAAGGCTTAAACTGCTTCAAATAGTGTATTTGTTCGGGACATTTTGAATTTTTCTTTGTTGATTGAGAAGCAATTTACAGATAAATTTTTCTGACATCTAATATTCTAGATTAAAATTATCACATCAATTGATCTATTCTTTTAGAACTTTTCTTTTTTATCAAGAATTTGCAGATTTTCTACATTCAAAGGACGCAATCAACAATGCAAAAGGTAATTGATAGAAAATTTATTCTAAAAACTGTCTTTTGTTAAATATGACTTATTTTAATATAGATGGATGGAGTTTCTATGAATAATGGTGCTGTCATAGTTAGACATTCATTTACTGAACAAGATATTCAGGTTGATAATGTGCAGCATGAGAACTCAGCACAAAATCAGTCAAATGCAGTAGAATCTACCAATATTACTAAGAAAATAAAGAAGTTGCCAATGACTCCATCATCTTTGTATGCCATTTTCTTTTAATTTCAAGCCTCATAATATATATAGAATGTATTTTAATTAGGGAACATTCATGTTGGTCAAGACATCGAACTGCAACAGCTGTGGGTACATTTGCTTTCTTCACAATACTAGCAATCGCTACAAGTATATTAATAGTCTGTCTGACTTCACCAAAAACAAGAGGTATGTTTTACTTTTTCTTCATATACCAATTAAATATATGATATAAATTTATTTTGATTTATTATATTATTTTATAAAACTTTTCTCTTCAAAGAAATAGTATGATAAAATAATAAATAGAATTAGTGTACTTCTTTGAGGAAGAATAGTTCACATCAGTCGACAAATATCTTATTATATTTTGTGTGTTATTTTTCATTATCATCACACAGTAAAATTAATATTCATTTGATTTCATCTTTTTGAGGCGCTAATATCATTTCTGCTTACACCAAAACAACGCGTTTTTTTAAACAATTTTTACAGTAAATGGAAGAAAGTGAATAAGTATACCTAACATCGACTTAACATTTGAGTGCTCAAAAACTAAATGAGATTCTATGAATTCAATAAAAATAATTACATCATAACAACTGATTAAATTTTACATTATTTATCTTTTTTATTTAGTTCAACACTGTGAACTGAAGTTTATACAAACTCTTCAAAATCCAGTTGAATACAATTTTGGCCCTAGATCTGTTGCAGTTGGTAATTTCAACAATGACGAGTTGGTAGATATTGTTGTTGCCAATCATCTCGTTAATAGTATTTCTGTATTCCTTGGATATAACAACGGTGGTTTTGGAAGCAACATGACGTATTCGACCGGTTTAAATTCTGCTCCATACATGGTAGCGATCGGCGATTTTAACAACGATCATCACACGGATATTGCTGTCGCATATTTCGGTACTAACAGCATCGGTGTATTTTTTGGACTGGGAAACGGTTCTTTTACTAATACAACAGTAATCTCAACTGGTTCATCTCGTCCAGTCTGGATATATGTAACTGATCTGGATAATGACACATCACAAGATATTATTGTTGCTAATTATGGAACTGATAGTATTAGCATATTTTATGGATCTGGAGATGGACGTTTCGCATATCCGGTCACATATTCAACCGGCTACGATTCTTCACCATTCTCGGTCATCAGTGCAGACTTTAACAATGATAATCATTTAGATCTTTCTATTGCCAACTATGGTACAAATAATATAGCTATATTTATTGCAAATGGCAACAGAACCTTTTTACATCAACAAGTATTTTCTACTGGAATTAATTCACATCCATATTCACTCATTGCTGGTTATTTTAATGATGACAGTCTATTAGATATTGCTGTTGCAAATTATGGAACTAACAATGTCGGCGTACTTCTGGGTACCACCAACGGCATTTTTACGAGTCAAACAATATATTCACTTGATACTTCTTCGCCATATTCTATTGATCTTGGCGATTTCAACAACGACAACCGACTTGATTTAGTCGTCAGTAATAAAGGTACTGATAACATAGGTGTTTTGCTGACACTTGCCAATGGCACTTTCTCTAAACCAACAATGTATTCAACTGGTTCTGTTTCTTCAATCTCAGTTGCTGTAGCTTATTTCAATAAAGATAATCTACTAGATGTTATCCTCATCAGTGATGATACCGGCAGTATAGGTATTCTCTATGGTTATTATGAAGGCTTTAAGACACAAACCAATTATTCAACTGGCTCTAAGCCATCTTCTGTAGCTGTTGGTGATTTCAACAATGACACTCGACTGGATATCATCGTTGCTAATGAAGAAGATGGCACTGTAGGTGTGCTTCTTGGATATGGTTATGATTCTTTGAAAAATCAAACTACATATTCAACTGGATCTAAGCCATCGTCTGTAGCTGTTGGTGATTTCAACAATGACACTCGACTGGATATCGTTGTTGCTAATGGAGGTGACAGCACTGTAAGTGTACTTCTCGGA